GGAACATCACATCCTTGGTCAATGTTGTAAGTTCATCACATTCTTTTACATTACCTGACTTCAACCCAATCAGTTTGGTTCACTACTCATAACTGGTTGCATTTCTTTACCGTTTTCCCAGTTGGTTGCGTTTCTCTGTGGATATGTACACTTGAAATCTCAATCGTCCGGGCATCCAAGCTTTCAGCCATGGACTATTAACATGTGAGGGGTTTGCTCTGCTCTGCTCTGCTGAAAAGAACCAAACTTCCTTTATTGTTTACTAATATTGGAACTCCAAACTGATGGAGACAGGATGATAACACCTGACTTTGTTTTTTGCAGGGATGAAAGTGAATGGTGGATCTTCCTAGCAGGATTGGTTGTTTGTAAATTTCTTCAATCCCGACTCGTTAATTGGCACGTTGCGAATCTGGAGATCCAAGATCGATCCTTGTACAGTAACCAGTTCGATATGTTCTGGCAGTCCTGATGATTATTATTTGCTCATCTTGATAGACTATTCTCTCTTACCTTGTCCTTTTTTTTTCCTGGGTGAGGGAAAGCTGTTCTTTACCACATGGGTAGGCGTTCTTTCTCTACCCATTTCTTCAAAATACGGCTTCATCATTCACACTCGTTAACCCTTAGAGCAGAATAGATAACAACAAACAAATCATCTTTATTAAAATCCAAACATATGGATCAAAGAGAAAAAAAAAGGAAGAACAAGAAGAGTTATTCATAATTGTAATCAAATCATTTGTTCTGTTTCCCTTTTTTGGTGTGGTCTCCAGTGATGATGTATTACTTGGGATCTGTTATTATCCCCTTTGTGTAATTCTGGGTAGAAGATTTTTAAGATTTAAGATCATTTTCTGTAATAAGCTCAGTGGCTATGGCGGAGAAGTGTGCTTTCCAATGAAGTGTTGAATTCATAAATCCCAGAATGATTCTTAATTTCTTTATCCATTTCATGTCTGCTTGCGTAATCGTCTCTTTCGCCGTGGTCAGGAATTTTCCGACCAGACGAGTGGAGGGACTGGAGTCGCAGAGCATCCGGCTGGACCTGGACATGGTCGATGAGCATAGGTTCATCTGTGTGATTTTAATCGAGTAGAAATTTTAAAATTCGGGTTATAGAGTTCAACTATGTATGTTGATTAAGATTAAGATTATGAATTATATATCATATAAGTAGTTGAATCTTGATGTTGACAGCTGCACTAAATTAGACAACTCACCTTCTGACTCACTCTTTCGGGTGAGTGTTCTTTGGACATCGATCGATCTATCACAGGACATTTTTTAGGATCATAAGGAATCGCTATAATCACCACTACGTGCGTCTCATTCTCTTCGATCTTATCCTTTCTTGCTTTTTTATGAAGTCACACTGGGAGCTAGTGCTTGCTATTAAAGAATTGCTCCATGGATCTTATCGAAAATGTTTGATGCTTCTTGGGGCTTCTTTAGTGTCCATGAAGTTACTGGATGAATTACGTAGTAGATAGATTAGATCCGAACATGGCTGGCTGTTGCTCCCAGGCGATATGGACTCGACCCGTTCCGACCCATCTCGGGATACCATAGGATGTCAAAATAGGGGGACATACCGGGCATGGATATGAATAGAGTAAGTTGGGTTCGCGAAGATTTTATTAATACCCCATCCTCTGCTGTAACATACAAATGGCTATCAATTTACATGTTCACTCGCACAGATTTTTTCATGAACAGTAAGGATCTTATCGATGTCATAGAGAAGTGCCAAGGAGGGGAACGGCATCAAATTCGCCGGCGTTCTTTCTCCCATTGCAATCTTGTTGAGGGCGGCATTGGCGTAGAATCTGCAGAACCTCCTTCATCGAAGGTCGTATTTCAGGTAACGTGCTTGTACAAATTAGCCCTAGTTTGAACAGAGTAATCATCTCTTCCAAATTGCGTGGGTTTCTGATTTCTTCATCAAGAGCATCAGCAATAGGTTTTCCTTCACTATATTGTTGCCATGCCCATTCTGCTAGGCTTGTGTGTTCATCTCCACAGTTCGGTTCTCTTCCTGTTGTGAGTTCCAACAGTACAACCCCAAAGCTATAGACATCAATCTTCTCATTTACTTTTGTTGTATACACATACTCTGCAATAGAAATCAAGAACATTCGTCAAATCTGTGTTTTGAAAGCTCTCTATGAAGATTACTGCGATTGTTATTTGATTTTTGATGTTTAAGGATCTTTGTTTTTCCCAAGGATGAACAGTATGAACTTACCTGGGGCTATATAGCCAAAAGATCCTGCTATTGCAGACATAGTGTAAGGCTCTCCCTGCCTGACCAGCATCTTTGCCAGCCCAAAATCCGCTATCCTTGCGTGGAACTCATGGTCTAATAAAATGTTACTTGACTTTACATCTCGATGAATGATTGGTGGAGAGCAATCATGGTGCATATAACTCAGGCCTTGTGCAGCTCCAATAGCAATCTGCAACCTCCTCGGCCAGTCTAAGACATATTGTTCAACAAAATCCATTGTAGCCGCTCTTAACCTTTTCTTCTCTTTATGAAGCCACTTATCTAGGCTCTGATTTTGCATGTATTCATAGACTAACAGCTTTGAATTCTCATTCCAGACGCAGCATAGCAACTTCACTATGTTCGAATGCCGAATCGAGCCAAGTATTTGAACTTCTGCTTGAAATTCTTTCTCAAGCTTTTGATCCAACTTCTTGTTACTCCAAATCCTTTTGACTGCAACATAGTAACCAGCATGGTTTATATCTATGCAGTACACTTTTCCGGATCCACCACTTCCAATCAGATTAGTTTCTGTCAGGTTTGATAAGATATTCGCTTCTGTGAATTCCAATCTCTGGAATGAAGTTAGCTTCCAAGTGTCAGGGTGGCATCTTTCTTCCTTTTTGCAGTAACTTCTATATAAGATGAAGATCCATAGTATAGCAATTATGAGGAAGGTGATGATGAGAGCTAGAAGGAGGGAGAGATATTTAGAGGAATGATCTTTTATATCTCTTTGTCTGGAGTTACAATTTGGAAGGTCAAGTGCATCAGTGGTGGTACATAGTTTAGGATTGTTCAAGAAACTCCTTTCATATGCTGTATTCTCATACTCATCTGGGATTTTCCCTGAAAGCTGATTGGAAGACAAGTTGAGAGAAGCCAATCTTAACTGGCCAATTTCTGGTGGGATTTCACCTGAGAAGTTATTACCTGATAAATCTAGGTAAAGGAGGCTAGGAAGAAATCCAAACGCCGCTGGAATATTGCCTGAAAGTTCATTTCGTGAGAGATTTAGAGTATTCAACGATTCCCACAAACCAATTGTTGAAGGAAGTTGGCCAGAGAGTTGATTTCCACTTAATATGAGTGTGGTAAGATGAGGAAGCCTTGTCAACCCTTCGGGAAATCTACCAGAGAGCTGATTGTTGCTTGCCTCAAACACAACCAAGTTCTTCCAAGCAGACACATTTTGAGGAATTTGACCCCAAAATTTGTTGTTATTTACTGTCAGTCTCGAGAGATTCCAAGATAAGATATCTGGTAACTTGCCTGAGAATGAATTTCCATCTAACATTATGCTTGATAGATTGAAAGTAGTCCAAAGACCTGGAGGTAATTCGCCAGAAAAGTTATTATTAGAAAGCTGGATTGTGCGTAGGGTCCTGCAATTGCCAAGCCCTCTTGGCAATTCGCCGCTAAGATTGTTGGAGAAAGCAACCACTCCCTGTAAGACGCCATTTTTACAGAGATGTTCAGGTAATGAACCACTTAGTTTATTCATTGAAACCTCCAATGCTTCAAGATTTGAATGCAGACCCAATTCTTGTGGCAGGTCCCCGGTTAAGCTGTTGTTGAAGATCCGAAAGCCTTTCAGCATCGGTATTAGGCCTAGATTCCCAGGAATCTCACCAGACAAGTGATTGTCATACAAGTTGAGAACCTGCAACTTCTTCAACTTCCCAAAATCTTCAGGGATTGTGCCTCTCAAATTGTTTGCAGAGAGGTCGACATTGAGTAGATTTGATGCTTGGATTGATTTGGGTATCTCACCAGACAACTGATTTTGGAAGAGATATAAGTTGCTTAAATTCTGCAGAGAGAACAGTGTAGCAGGAATAGAGCCAACCAAATTGTTGCTGGATAAATCCAAGTGCTCAAGGCTCAAAAGATCCGATAAGCCTTCTGGGATTTCACCAATCAAGTTGGATTTTCTTATCCACATATATTTCAACTTCTTCAGTTTCCTAAACTCTTGTGGTATTGGCGATGGGACGAGCAAAGTGTTATAAGCCAAGCTCAGAGTTTCAAGATTGGACAAGTTCCCAATTTCAGCTGGCAATGTGCCATTGCACTGAGTTCGATAAATGTTTAAAGTTCTCAAAGCTGGCAACCGGCCTAGTGCTGCTGGAAAATCTCCTGAGAAGTTGTTGGCGCTAAGGTCCATGTACTCCAGAGTTTGTAATCGATCTATGTCGTGTGGTATCGACCCCGCAAAATAGTTTCCTGAAAGATCAAGATACTTGAGCTTGGAACAGTTGAACAGAGCCTCAGGGAACTCACCCGGGATATAGTTCCAGGAAAAATCAAGCTCAGTGAGGTTTTGCAGGTCACAGATGACAATTGGGATTTTCCCAGTGATATTCTTGTCTCCGAGAGAGATTCCTGTGACCGTGCTGTCTCTACAGACGATATCAGGCCAATCGCAGGGCGAGGACAAGGAGTTCCACAGGTGGAGAGACGGCGGATTCCCCCATTGTTCTTTAAGCTCAAGCAAGATGGCCTGGTCTGTTTTGGCAGTCAGTGAGCTTACACAGAAGGGTGTGGATACGAAGCATAAGAGGTAAACGGAGAGCAGAGTTCTTAGAAATGGAAGCGTTCTGGACATTTTTGGATGCTTCTGATGGCTTTTCTGATGGGGGGATTGGTTTTTGCCAGAAGAGTGCACCAAAAGGCTACTGGAAAAATGGAAGTATAGATTCCATGGACTCATGCAGCCAACATATACTCTGATAGTCAAAGTTAGGGGAGCTTTGTTCTTACACGGCACATCCAAAGTCCAAAAGCTGGTAATTGTTTCACGTTTGCTTCTTTGCCAAACTCACGAATGGTTTTGACATGATTGTTACCTTTATAGATCATGAACAGTTTCGTTTCTGTAAGTCTCTTTTCGTGTCTTATAACAGCCCAAGCTCACCGCTAGCAGATATTGTCTGCTTTGGTCCATTACGTATCGTTGTCAGCCTCACATGGTTTTAAAACGCGTCTATAAGGAATATTTTGTTCTCTATCCAACTGATGTGAGATTTTGAGCTCGGAAGTTCAATACTTTCATGAGATATTTGAAAAAGGTACGCACATTTATCTTAGCCATTCATGCTTATTTGAACAACTTCTTTTTCTCTCCTCCATATATCAACCATGGACTGCTTGCTTGCTTGAAGCAGGAATTTTGTTTAGTCCCTGTTTTTGACTAAACTTTCAAATCTCTTCACATTAAATTATAAGATATGAAAGAGATAAGAGTTGCCCACATTCAATGATGATACTGTTTAATGGAAAATGAATGCTTTGTTTGTCATTATTTTAAGTTAGATATGGTTTAGTTGGTGACAATGGATCCCATTTTTTGCTCCTTTGACTGCTTAGGGTATTGTGGCTCTGGTTGCTCCCCCACCATCAAACATTCTTCAACTGTACCAAAACCCCAAATAAAATTAAGAAATATATATATGTTTTAAAATTTTGTTTTAGTTTTGTAATTAGGGATTAAAAAAACGAGTATATATTATACGAATTTGTTTGTTTACCTTCGGAATTGTAACCATCTTAAAACTTATTTGCATGTTATAGTTCAAGAGATTTGAATCTTTGACCTCTAATATTTTTTATAGTTACGTTATTCTTCTATTGATCAATATATAGATTACGTGAGTGTAAAAAGACTTTTAAAATTGAGTAAGATAATTCGAGATGAGAATCATATAAACAGGAGGTCATTAAGGATCGTAAAACTAATAAATGTAAAGAGAACGAGTCCAATCGAATCAAACGATTGTTCTGTGAAATTCAAAACGACCATAAGAACGTGAAGATTCATCAAGATGCCCTCAAGTTGAGATTAAAAAAACCATTTAAACGAGATCTTAAAAAAACCATTTAAACGAGATCTTGTGAGGAATATCTGGTTTTGTAGTTTAATGCAAAAGCATCAGATTAATTAAGCTGAAAATTGATATATAATTATAGGGTAATAAGTTTTTTTAGAAATATTTCAAAATGATTTTGAAATAGTTAAGTGAATAAATTACTTTAAAATTACTCTCATAAATTTATAATAAATCAAATATATACTTTATTTAATTAATTGTTTAATGACCATCAATTAATATTAATTAATATATACTTTTTCTTGGTTTCATTTGTTTACCAATCAATTTGGAGAATTACCCAATATATGCAAGTGGTGATTTTTACCTTTTAGATATATATATGGTCCTCATCATTGTGGACTAAAATGGTGGGTGGCCTAATTATCTTATTATATATATATATATATATAGATGATTTCATACATGACATAAAAATCTCTTAGGTGATTTAAATTAAGTATTTAGATTTTATTAGGTATTTTATTTAAAGTTTTCAAAAAATAAATAAATTATAATGTCTCGTGTCTATGATTTAAACTAGGATCGTCTCGACATTTTTTAAATTATTGGAAGATTCAGATCAGGTTGTATTTACATGCTTTCTAATACAAAAAATTTGTGTATCTTATTGATATAAGTAATAGATATAAAATTTTCAAGCATTTTCCATCAATAATTTCATATTCTCAAAATTGCTCTTATTCAAATGTGGTCTCGATTATTCATATATTCTTTCTTTACCCGAACCTCACGTAATAAGGTTGATAATCGAACACTTTAAAAAGAATCGCGTTGTCTAACTATAATAGACTCTAGTATACTCTAGAAGAGCATTTATACTTTTAACTATAATTTAATTAATTGATGAAAGATTAGCATTGCATTCTTTGGTGTAAAAAAGATGAGGCATATTGTCATATTTTTTTGAATAAAATTAGTGGAAAGATACATGAAAATTACTTTTAGACTATGATTATTTAAATAAGACAGTGCTGTTGGTGGATAAAAAATAAAAAATAAATAGCTTTAATTGGTTTTTTACAAGTTTGAAAATAGAATTAAGTTATATATATATATATATATATATATATATATATATATATATATATATATATATTAAACAAATACAAGAGAGTTAGTGTAGAAATCTAGTTGGTTGAATGAGTATATCTTTTTCTTTTTCTTTTTCTTTTTTTTAACTTTTTACTTTTGAGGGAGAATGGTTCTAATTCTTTTTTGGACTATTTCTTTTCTCTATTTTTTTTTTAATTTTTCATTTAATTGTATTTATTTGCATATCCGTCCCTAATATTTGATTCTTCTTTTCCACTTGGTCCGTTATTCTTTCTAAATTATCTAGTTGAAGAAGAAAATGAAGAAGTCTTATAAGGGTGTGGAAATCTCTTCTCTACTAAACGAATATATATATAAAAGGTGTTGTACATGAATACATATATTTATGAAAAGAGTAATAACAAGAGATTTAATTTGGGAGAGAATTATACAATACAACATTGGAAAAGAGTGTGTATGTGGACGCTTATGAATGACAAGATGAAAGCTGTGTAGGTTCATTCGCATAATCTTATCATCCAATGCCCAATTTGGTGACTCCCACCTTCTCAGCCTTTGTTCCCAGCTTGTCTAGCTAGCTAAAAAATAGAAACAGGTATATGCATGTGAGAGAAACATAAGAGAGAGATTTTAAAGTATTGATAAGATAAACGTTACCTCTCAACTTTGAACTATGTTTCATCTTTGAACTTTGAAATTTCTCAACTTTGAAATATGTTTCATTTTTACCTTTGAACTTTGAAATTTGTTCGTAGAAGAATAAATACCCTTGGAGAGTGATTCGTAAAAGTAAAGACAGAAATTGACGCAACGGTTAACTTGTAAAAATTGAAAAATGAAAAGTTTATTTTGATATTCCTTGCTCACTAAAGGTATTTTTGGAACAATTTCAAAGTTCAAAGGTATTTTTTGGAACAAATTTCAAAGTTAGAGAGAAATAATGAAACTTTTAAAAATCGAAGAATAATTTACCAATATCAAAGTTCATAGGTATTTCGCACAGAAAAAGATTATAAAAAGAACCTGGAAATAGGTATCAAGCTTCTTCTTCAGAATTTCATGCTCTTGTTTTACTTCCTGGAAACTTCTTATGCATCTATACAACAGAAAAAGAGAAGAAAAAAAAAAAAAAAAGTTAGCAAGTTCATGTAGCTTGTTAACCGGGTATGAAGTAAGAACTGATAATATAGATCATTACCCTTCAAGATTTCCTGCCAAGCAGTATTCTCTAAACTGTGAGCATGCTTCTGTTACCCTATTGGCTCCAATGCTAGCAACAAATTCAAATGAATTAAGACAAGGTTACTAAAGAGATAGAGGCACTATGACAACTGTGTATGTATATATTTATGAATAATCAAGCTTTCTCAGAGAAATGAAATGATACTACATTTCTTTGTCACGAAGGATCCCTGCATGACACATGGAGGATTCAACTTTTCAGAAGAGATAAAACGATGCCATCATTGGACCATTATTTCAGAACAATCAAATGCATACTTATACCGAGTGTTACTATGTGCTTGTTGCAGTGATTATCATCATCATATTGGAATAGTTTCTGGGAAAACATGATTATTCTCCTCCCATTACTATCACCGAAAAGATTTATTACTTGTGGTGCATTCGATTCTAATTCTAAAGTTAGGGTGGTTGGTAATGTGCCCTGCCATGTGTCCCCATTGCTATTTTCTACATGATTATCGTAGTTTACCTAGAGCTACTTCCCTTGAACTGGTGCATGTAGTTGTCAAGCTTTTCAAAATCCGTAGGCTTACTGACTCTGTGTAAGCCAATAAAACAGTAGCTCGATTAGATGGTTCTCGTAATCATTTTGATAATGTTAAAGGCTCTCTATGCTCACATAGTTTGTTCAATGCTCCGGATGAGTCTGGCCGAATCATTGTAGAATAATGACACAATTTCTTCGGCAAAATTTGGGTTTGTATCATCCTGCAATTCTTCAAGCTGAGTGAACTGATCACGATCAAGATAACCCTGCAACATAGGATTCTGTCTGGTTCAACAATTTATGTCGTAGTAGGTTATTTGTCAATCATTTGAAGTAAATATAACATAAGATTCACAAATTATAAAAAGATGGATGATCCAAGACTGAGGGAATATCCATATGGACGTGAATGCCAAGATTCACACAAGAATCGTGACAACTGGCTAGCACTTTGTAAATTTAGTTTGTCTTATTCCTGGTCCGCTGATAATTTATGCTGGTCCGAAACGTAGAAGACAGTTGTTGTTATCCAGTACAACTACGAACCAATTGACCATGACCCAGCTGATATCCTTCACTCCATGTTTAGCCCATCCCACCGTATAAATTATGCAGCGATCCACAAATTAGACCCTGGAGAAATAACTTGAAAAAATAAATACTAGTTCATTCTTTAACCAAATATTCGAAGACTTGTGGTTTTACTTTTTACTTCACTCTCAGATGGAAGATTTACATGGCCAAGCCATAGCACTATTAGGAATAAGTTCAATTACCATGTCTGGTCCGTCCCAAAATAATGAACATGAATATGTTCTTGGACCGATGGCTCAGTTAGGCTCATATCAGAAGAAAAAACCAGTTCCTATTTGGCTCATGCACCGTAAGGCTAAACCTGCCCTTCCAAATTAGACTTAAAGCTTGGTAGTTATATACTCTGCACTGTACTGGAAACCATGAACCAACGATTCTCAAACATGCTTACAGCAAAGTACAAGTTAGACTGTTAAGAGTGCCAACTGCACCATGAGAAAGACACAAGAAAAGTGAAAGAATTTCTTGTATTTTGAAGGTAAACCTGCTCAAAGAAGCACCTCTTCGTGTAGGCAACTTGACGTTGCAAAAGGCTAGAGTCCATCTCTCTCCCCAGAAAATGTAGCAGATTTGATGGAAATAATGATAGACGAGCTGGGAACTAGGTTCAAGTGTCTTGACTTCTTTGAATGATACAACAATATGCCAAACGAAGGTATTTATAGGCTAGCATGTGGAAGAAGTATAAGATAGAACGCAAAGAAGTTATCATCACTAAGTTGGGACGCAAAAGAATTTATCATCACTAAGTTGGGTTGCACAAGAATTTATCATTATCATCACTAAGTTCTCTTGTTTTGCCATTGCAATTTGAATGCCATATGCTATAATTTATGTGCTCATTCTCTTTAAGCCACAGCGAAACCAAAAAGTGATGATTCAATCAATTTATTGAAAAGAACATTTATAAGAACAATCCAAACACAATGGATAAAGGAGGGAAAAGAAAGAAAGGGCTGCAACTTACGTGTCAAATGCTAACATGCTTATAAGAAATACGTAACTAAGTGATTGAAGATTCTAAATGATAAGTACTAGGAAGCAGGTGCTTTTAGGGATAATGTTACACAAACTGCAGCAGATTTTTTTCGGGAGAAACTCCTAGAAATCCCATATTAAAAGGATCGCTCTGAACATCAATAATTCACCAAAAACAGAAAGATTCCAAATGAGGAATCGCCTCTTTTTTCATATAAAATCTCCAAGAGTTTGCATGTGAAAGAAAGGGAGTCATAGTCATCCTGTTAATCTGTTAAT